GTGCAGATACCTGCTGAGGAGCGAGTGTGTCCTGCCGTCTGGCCTTAGCGGCACTTCCTCCATGCAGCGGGGCTGGGGGGATCACACCGTGTCCTTGGGCAGGGTCCCCGGGGGGCTCGGAGGCAGTCCAGGCTCTGCCTGTCGCTTTGGAGCCTTTTCCTCCTCTGGGGAAATGTAAACAGAGCAATGTCCTCCCGGTCATCCCTTCCCGACGCGGATCTTGTACAAACCTGGTCTGAATCCAAGTGATCTTATCTGCTGAGGAGATTGAGGATTTCCTACTGGGAGGCATTTTCGGCCGCTTAGATCAGCGAGGTCCTGGTGGCGCAGACAAGGAGGAGGCTGAGGGAAGCCTTCCTCCCTGTCCCGTGGTCACTTGGCCTGTGCAACAGCTCCACTTGGGCACTCGAGGGCTACACCTAGTCTACATCTTCTCTGTCAATGGACAAGCCCCCTGATCAGATGCAGTAGCACGGAGCAAACCCATTCTGACCAGATGCGGTACCATGGGGCAAACCCATTGTGATCAGAGGCGGTACCATGGGGCAAACCTATTCTGACCAGATGCGGTACCAAGGGGCAAACCCGTCCACCTGGACGCCTCCGTCTCCCCCGCAGCCCAGCCCGCTGGCAGCAGCTCATTGAGGACTCACTCCTGCACCAGGGCCGTGCCGGGCGCGCGGCCTCCTCAGGGCTCAGGTGCAGCCAACGTGTGCAGCCCACGCGGGGGACAACCTGGCCTGGGCTCTTCCCCCGCCACGTGCCCACGGATGCTCCACTTGCTGCTGCCTTTCTTGGGCAGGGCAGAGAGACACGGAGGCTGAGACGCGTGGCAGGGAGCTCCCCATGGCACACAGGGACGGGGCAGCAAAGACAAGAGATCGTCCCCAAAATGTGTGCAGGGCACAGCGCCTCCTCCCGCCCTGCGGGCGTTGACGACAGCTCGCTCAGGGCGTGCTCGTGCCCTCTGCTCTGCCCTGCACGGGGCTGTTGGTGCCTCTCTCCACCAGGGAGAAGGTCCCTCTTGTTCCCAGGCTGCATCCCAGCATCTGCTCCCTGGGCGGCAATTCCCGAGCCAAGGACACCAATCCCACATCATGTGCTTGAGGAGATCCTCCTCCCGCTGATGCAACGTCTCCCGTGGAGCCCTCGGGACCCCTCTCCTGTCAGCGCCCCAGGGCGCTGCGTGTCCCCAGAGACACCCTGCCTCCCGCATCGATGCTCCGCACGTCGACGGGGGTTACGGCACCGGCCAAGGGGCTGGCAGGGGCAGCCGGCTGCAAACGCTGCCAGCGAGGAGAAACCCAGCGACGGCAGAGTCGCTCTTCCCTCCCGCTCGGTACAGCTATGTATAAGTGGAAGCAACAGACTCTTTCAAAAGAGCTAAAATACAAACGTAAATTCTCCTTTTAAATCAGCAAATGTTTGTCTGGAACCTATCCAAACCAAAGAGAGGTTAACGCATTCCTGGGAAACGCATTAAATGCCGTGTGCACCAGTTCTTCCTAATGGCCGGCAGCGACGGCACAGCTCATCCTGCACCGCTTTGACAACAATTGGACCCATAGTGGGCTTCACATTAATTTTCTCTGCTACTGACATCTGGGTTTAATGCACTTAATACAGCAAGAACATGGTATAAATAAGTAATTTATACCCTAAACACCTCTTTTCTTTTTTTCTCAGCCAATTGGCAAAAAGCAAATGGAGAGCGTATCTTTTAAACCAGCAACTTATCACACCTTTCACTGCACAGGAAGCTGCTGGAGTTGTGATAAACATAATCAAACTATTAAAGTAAGAAATATCTGGCTATGTGGTTTCCGGGAAATGGTGCCTCAAACAAACCACAGCTCCTGCCAAAAGAGACAATATTTGAGGTGCTTCTGCAGCTAATGGAGCAGTGAGAGCGAGGGAAGGAAGCTGCAGAGAGCACACACTTAGGGGAACATTATTTCCTTAAAGACTGGCAACACTAACCGATCCATTTTTTTTTTTTTTTAAATGTTAATGAGTTAAGCTAATTGTAAACGTGCAAACAGCTAGTAATTGCTAGGAGCCCCACGCATTGCAGATGAGCAAAGGAGGCTGCTGACCCTGCGGGTGACAGAAGCAGCGGCGCTCACTCGGGCTTCCGCTGGAGCCTCCTTGCCCACGCTTAAAAGGGACACCCTTAAATTTGCAAGACCCTCCCTTGGTTTCATCTACCTCTGCCTGGGTAAAGAAAAAGTTGTTATTTTGCACACAATCTGCCCCAGAAGGGAGCCTGCCCGCCCAGCCCCTTGCTTCTGGACTGGTTCCTGCCGCTGCCTGTCGAGCAGCACTTCCTCTTTCATAAATCACGTTTTGCATTCTGAGCATGCGTCTCTTCTTCCGTGCCATTTTTGTTTTCAGATAACCATTAGCTTAATTAATCAAGGGAAATGCACTGTTTCTGATGGAAGCTCGGGGTGGCGGGAGAGGCTCTGCACGGGAGCAGGGCTGGGCTCACCTGCGCGGCGCACGCATCCAGCGGCCGGCATTGAAACCTTCTCAAGGCTCAGCACATCTAGCAGGCAAAATGCTCGTTTTAATGACAGTTTAGCTATTTGCTCCCTACACTTGGGGTGAGGTTGTTAGATTTTGGGTTCCCAAAAAAACAGCCACTAAATGTCCATGGCACAAGTTTCCATTGACCTTGGAGCACAAACTGCAACAAGAGCTGATCCTGCCAGCTTTGGCCTCGCCCACACCAGCAAGTTGAACAAAACAACCGTGGGGAGACATGTTTTATGGCATAAAAAGCCCCCACAAGTCGTTCCAGCACAGCCTGACCACCTTGGAGAGCAGATCTCAGCTACACCAGAACTACCACCTGTTTGTGACAACAGCACCTGTGCACAAGACTATTCCTTCTCCATACAAGTTCCCAGGTCTGTCCAAACCACAGAAAAGTGTAGCACGCCCAGCTCCACTGGCTTTCCTCAGAGCGAGCCTGAGCTGCCTTGGGAAAGCATCCTGACGCAGGAACGGGAGCACCCATCCATGCGCTTCTGCTGACAGAGCTAATGCGGTTGAGCTCCCACTGCAGATGATACCTGGCTGGACACTGCACCTCCCTTCTGCACGGGCTGCGAAATGCTCTAGATTTGCAGAGAGGGTTGCCAAGATGAACTTGCAATTGATTACAGGAAGGCCTGGGAGGATGAAGTGACCCAAAGGGAAGGCAGCACAGGCTGGGGGGAGAGAGCAGCAGCACCCGCACACGGTGCCACAGCGGGAAGGGGGCGAGGGTCCCCCAAGCAAGGCTGAAGTCCGCAGCCATCGCCGTGCAGGTAGGTCGGCAAGAGCTGTAATGTGGTTGCAAGGTCTGCTTCACACTACGCCGTCTGCTGCTCACCAGCTCCAGGCTCCTGCGCGCACACATTAAACTACAGTGACAAGACTTCAGCTAAGATCTGTCCCAGAAAGCGCAGATATCGCCTTAAAGCAAGAGCCCAGAGCTAAGCCAGGCTGCCAGCAATGCCGCTTTTGTGAGCACTCGATTCCGAGGAGTCACTACACGAACACTCAGATCCAGCTGGAAGCATCGTCACCGAAAACCCTTGGCTGGGGGCGGCTAGGCCATGCACCGCATCCCGCACCTGCACACAGGCAGGACTGAGCGCATGGCATCACATTGCCACCTTCATGGAGCATTTGGGAAAGAATTACACCTAGAATAGTATATGAATTTGAATTTATCACATGCTCATCTAATTCAGAGAGGTCTGCAGCCTGGTTTGTCCAGTTTGGACTCTGTTGCTTTCCAAAGCAGCTCAATTCTGCTTCCCGTTGCGATGCTCCCCAAAACTGAGAGTTCATATAATTCCGTCACCTTAAGTGCACTGCAGTCCCAGTTTCAGACCTTTGATAAGGAGCAGCTGCCCCAGCTGCAGGAGCCTTCATGGCCTGTGCCACCGGGCTCCTTGCAGCTCTGCTCCTCGTGCTTCACCCAGCTCCAACCGCTGTGGAAGGAGCGAGGACTGGACTGCGTGGGCTGCAGGAGCACGGACTGGACTGCCTGGGCCTTCCCAGGGAGGGAGCAGGGGCGAGCGGCACCTGAGAGCTCCCACCTGCACCCTTTTTTGGGAAAAAACAGAGATAAGTTGTACGCTGCTTGCATCCTGCAAGAGGCGAGGCGAGCGCCGCACCCCGGCTCTCATTCTAACCCGGCAGCACCCAGACGGGGTCCCCATGCAGAGGCTCTCTCTGCCACCTGTATGCAGTAACAAACGCACTCCAAATCCCAGCAGCTTTTGTAAAGGTTTATAGTCCTTGGCAATGATTGCATGATACATTTCTTCCGCCGGGACGCAGCCCTGGGGCCGGGAAGCGCCGCGGGCGGCTCGCGCTCCCCCTGTGCAGCTGGGCTCGCCACCTACACTTGCTGCACAACATCAAATGCACTTTCAACATCTCCATTTAATATTTACATTCAAGCAATTAATAATTGGAAGCTTATAGTTTAGACATTTCTAATAGCAGCAATTTCTATAATAGCTCGTTTAGCTTTAGATAACAATTTTTTTTTTTTTTTTTGCACATAGAAACACCACATGTGTACAGTATCAAAAAATATATACCGGGAATGGTCCTGCGGGTTGTAAGGAGGGCAAAGGGACGAGACTAACATTTGCTCCATGGTTAAAAAGGAGAACAGAAAATAGTTGTTTGATATAGTTTATAAGATGATCTAGGGACTCCATAAATCTAGGCTTTATATTTCCTTATATAAATACCTACAAATAAATATATTAGCGTGGCCGCGGAGAGACCAGCTTTCAGCTCAAACAATACATTTCAATAACACCACGTACAAACGGGAGCAAGAACCACTCGACAAGTTAGCACTGTTAAAATATAATACTATGCAACTCTGAGTAACTGGCGGCCCCACCGCTGCGCGCCCCGGTGCGGGGTGGCCGGGGCCTCCGCGGCCTCCTGCCCGCGGCCTCGGCACAGGCGCTGCCGGCACCGCGGGCCAGGGTCGCCGGCCCCGGGGAAGGGGCGTCAGTACCTGCGAGGGGCCGCGGGGCCGGTGCCTCCCATGGGGAGCAGCCGGGGACCCCGCTCACACCGTCACGTACTCCTTGAAGGTCACCGTCAGGCAGTTTGCCGTCACGTCTGTGATAATTATATTCCCAAAGAAGGGCTTGAACTCCTGCAGGGCTTCGGCCTCCTCCTCCTCCTCGGCGGTGGCCTCACGGGGCTGCAGGGGCTCCGCAGGCGGCTTCTCCGCGGGCCCCAGCGGCGCCTCGGGCTTCACGTGCGTGGCAGGCGGCTCGTCCTCGGCCCGCGGCTTCACGCAGCGCAAGTCTATGGGCTCGTCCAGGTCGGAGTCCAGCAGGATGACCTCGGGCGGCGCGGGCGGGCCGGGCGCCGCGGCCGGGGGGCTGCCGCACGTGGGGGCACTGATGCTGCGGCACGGGAGGCGCTTCTTGCCCAGCTCCCGCTCGCCGGGCGGCTCCGAGAGGCAGCGCTTACGCGAGCCCGGGCTGGCCAGGCTCAGTCCCATGGAGGCAGGGCTGTGCTCGTGCGCAGGGCTCAGCGACCAGGGCACGAGGTCGGGCTTTGTGGTGAGCTGCAGGGGCTGCTCGGCAGCAGGGACGTGCAGCTCCTGGGCCAGCAGGGGCTTCCGGGGGCTCTCCTGGAGTTCCACGGGCGGCTGCCTCCCCTCGCCCTCCGCTTTGCTCAGGGGGCTGCTGCCCACCACCCTGTCCTCCCCTGGCTTCCTCCACACCTCCAGCTTCTCTTCCCCACCCTTCTTAGGAGTCCTCTCCTCCGCCACCCGCTTCCGGGCTGGCTCCCCAGACTTGATCTTCACCGCCTGCATGCCGTTCTCCATGTACTTGCTCATGACGATCACTATGCGCCCATTCTTGTTTTTGTTCTTGACGATCTTCATCTTGCCCCCAAGACCATTGCCCGTCACCCTGTCCCGCGGTGGAGGCCCAGTAGCACTCGACAGGTTCTTCTCAGCCCCGTTCTTGCTCTCTGCAGACAGGTTCTTGACTGGGCCCAGCAAGCTCTTGTTGGGGACATGAGCCCACTTGTCTGGGTGGGCGACCATGGGGCTCTTGCTGCTCTCTAGGCATGCCTGGCTCTGTGGCTCCTTGCTCGTGGGCTGGTAGTGGGGCTCGTACATCTTGGGGTCTGGCTGGTAGTGGTGGTGCTTCTTGCTGTTCAGCTGGTAGTAATACTTCCCTTTGCTGTGGGACTGGTGCTTCATGCTGCTCTCCTTGCCATTGGGCTGGTACTGGTGGTACTTCTTGCTGTTGAGCTCGTACTGGTGCTGCTGGCTCTTGCCCGAGGAGCTGAGGTCCAGCTTGGGCCTGTTGTCCACAGCAGGCTCCTGCAGCCCCGTGAGGATGTTGGAGCGGCGGGCGAACGAGGGCAGCTGCAAGGCAAAGGCAGGAGTTGAGCTTAGCCAGGGACCTCGCCCAAGGCACTAGGTGCTCATGCAGAATTGCGGCCCTCCTCGTGACGCTGCTTGCGGGACGCTGCCCCCAGGACAGCGTGTACTTTAGCAGGCAGCCCTGGCCCACTCACACTCAGAGGCTGCGCATTGCTCCAGCTTAATGAAGCAATAAAAAAAAAAAAAAGCTCCCTTCAATTCTCTGCCTGGGAAAAGGGAGCAAGGGCAGGAGCGCAGCTGCAGCGCTGCTTGCAGGTGGCCCGTCAGCCCCATTTGCAGCCCCCGGCAGAGCGGGGAATGGGTGCGACAGGTCCACATCGCAACTGGTGGAGGGGGTGAAACAACATGGGCCACTTGTGGGGCTGGGACGGGCTGATGAGCTCACTGCTGTGGTCCCTGAGGCCCCGGGACGCCAAGGGCTCTGCACACAGCTCCTCAGCATGATGAAACCCACTGAAAGAGGCCCCTGGGGATGCAGCGAGCTGCAAAGAGGCTGCGCAGCAGCAGCGGGGCCACCAGGCTCAGGTGCTACCACGCGTTTACCTGCACAACGAGCGGCTTCGGCTTCGGCCCCCGCTTGCGGTATCCCATGAGCTGCTCCTGCCGCTCCCTGCGGAAACACCGGCACAGTGAGCTCCACGCAGGAGCGTGCGGCCCCACGGAGCCCCAAGGATCCAGCTGCCCCTGCAGTGCCCATGACCCATAGGGTGCAAGAAGCCAGTTTTAGCAGCCCGTGCAAAGGAAGTGGCGGCCCCCCCGCTGCCAGCGGTGAGGGAGCCAGTGCGGCTGCAGGTGCGGGACCAGCGGGGCCTGCAGCCCGTGCGCAGGACAGGGCCGGCGGGAAGGCAGTGCCCAGGGAGGCCACTTCCCCGCTCCTGCCTCCTGCTGCTGCAGCGAGGGGTAAAGTTTACAGTTTGCGCCAAAATGCTACAGGAAATAAACGCTCGCAAAAAAAAAGAGCAGAAAAAAAAGGAAGAAAAAAAAAAAGAAAAAAAAAAAAGGCAGCCAGCCGAGGCGCAGCAGCGGCGGCGGCGCCGCCTCCTTCTCTCGCAGGCATCAAATGGGCGGCCAGGCAGGAGCGCAGGGCGAGCGGCGTGGGGGGAGCGCGGCGCGGGGGACCTTGAACCGGAGGCGTCTCCCGCGGCCCCGCGCCGCCCGCCCCGCC